GTGTAAGTGTGTATATGTGTTATGTGAATGGGTGTGTTCATGTATGTGAATGTTGTATGTGCACATGCGTATGTGGGTGCATGTGCATACACATATTTGCACATGTGTGGGTATGTGTGTGTGCACGTGTGTGTGTGCCCCTGTGCCCACATACTCTCACTTTGGGACAAGACCGTCATCAGCAGGCGCAGCCCCTCAGCCTTGGAGCAGACCTGGGCCGAGTAAGCCTCGTCTTGGTGGTTGCCCAGCCGCCGGCCCTGTGTTCTAAGCAAGTGAAAGTGGACCTGGACAGCTCAGCAGGGCAGGGGAACGGGCTGGGGAGAGAGAAAGCCTCACCCCAGGGGCAGCTCCCTGATGTCTGGCCGGGCTGATGCAGAGCCCAGACCAGGGAGGGACTGCCTGGGCAGAGGCGGCTGACCCTTGAACCCACCAGGGCTGCCGGGGCGGGGGAGAGGGAGGCCTGAGGGCAGAACTGCACAGTGCAGCCGCTGCAGCTGTCGGCCAACTCTGCTCTGGCTGTGGGTGTCTCTTGGTGGGGGACCTGAGTGGGGCACGCCCGTGGCTGCCCCCTGGCCTCACTCCCAGGCCCGCAGGCCCAGGGGCCTTTGGGAAGATGGAAACTCGTAGCAGCCCTCTCCCCTACCTGGAACTCACCTCCAGCCATCAGCGTGTGTCTGGACCTGGCTGTGGGAAGACCAGATGCTCCCAGGAATTCTGGTCCAGGTGGGGCACAAGGGACGTGGAGAGGAAGACGTGGCTGCGGGAAAAGCTGCCATCGCGAGGGTGCCGGGAGGAGGGGGTGCTGTCACGACCTTGCTCTCCAACTCCACAGGTGCCACGGAAGGGCCACACACCAAAGCTGAAACTCGAGGGGCCCAGGACAGTGAGACCCCGTGGGACTGGCCACAGAAAGGTGGGAGAAGGGGCTGGAAGCCCAGGAAGGCACAGCCAGCGTACCTGGACAGAACTGCTGGATACATTGCCACATAAGCCTCGTGGCTCAGTTTCCTGCTCCAGGGCCATGGGATGCATTTACATCGTGCGGTGCAGAGAAGCCATCATCCTGGGGTTGGCTGTGGCCAGCGGGGGCTGCTAGGCACAGCCCCCAAGCAGCAGGAAGGTGGCAAACCACGCCTGGCTGCCTGAGCCGATGCCCAGCTTGGGCCCGAACCTTGTAATGGCCTCGATGGGTGACAGCTTTGAGCTCAGAGGACGAGGTCCCTGCTGAGAGCCACTGCAGGGCTTGGAGTTCCCGGAAGAGGGGAGGTAGCTCCGGACGGGTGAGCCTGCTGTTCTCGCGAGCCAGCATCCCGCCTCTTCTGGTCCTTTCTATGTTCCGAGCCCTCAGCTGCTTTTGTGTCCTGCTGCTTTGCTCAGTGTGGTGCTGACCCCCACACCTGTAAACCTGGACTTTCTCAGCCACTGCTGTCATGGGGTCTACCCCGTCCATGAGCCGCTGGGGCCAGCCTCACCTGCCGGCATCCCTCACAAGCCCTCTCCTTGGTCCACATTCTCTGTCATTTGGTGCAGGGCAGGGACCGAGAGATGCCTGCGTGCGTCCACGGAGAAGTGTGTTTTCAATGTTCAACATAAAAGTAAACATTGTGAGCTAAATAGATGCACATTTTAGGTCTCTCCACGCACACATATGCATTAGATCATTTGTTTAGGAAAGTTTTGCTCGAATTAGTGTTGCTGATGGACCGCCTAGCACGTCCCATGGTGGCTGCACTGGGAGACTGGGAGTGGTTCTACCCGGAAATGTGCCTGGTGAGGTTTAATCGTGTAATTGTGGCTGGTTATCCTTAGTGTGTGCTGGAGGGGATGCCGATTAGCACCTGACCCTGCTACCACGCCCATTGCTCCCTGTCCCAAGGCCGGGGCTTTTCCTGAGAAAGGCCATGGCTAAGCGGCTGCCTCTGCACCAAGGTGGGGGAGTGGCAGAGAATGGGAGCTGCAAGACTGATTTTCACCCGGAGCCACTGACGGCCTGGTGCGAGGGAGGACACACAGGAGCTGCTACTGCATCCATGTGTTAAAGAAAGGCCGAAGGAGAGGCAGTGGGGTGGGGGAAGAGAGACAGAGAGAGACGGAGACAGAGACAGAGACAGAGAGAGACAGAGAGACAGAGAGAGACAGAGAGACAGAGACAGAGACAGAGAGAGACAGAGACAGAGAGACAGAGACAGAGACAGAGACAGAAAGACATAGAGAGAGACAGAGAGAGAGACAGAGAGACATGGACAGAGACAGAGAGACAGAGACAGAGAGAGACAGAGAGACAGAGAGAGACAGAGACAGAGAGAGACAGAGACAGAGAGAGACAGAGAGAGACTCAGTGGGAGTGTTAACGCTCCACTTGCTGCAGTCCTCACAATGCAGGTTGCACTGATCATGTTCAGTTGCTGTGCCGCTCTCCGAGTGGAGGACTGGGGCGCACGTTCAGTGCTCATGAGGGGTGACAAGGAGCCCAGTGGGCACGCTGGGCCGGGAGCAGCACCGATGGGCTCCCGGAGACTTGAGGATAGGACTCGCATCCATCTGATTAAAGTGAGCGGTTGTTATCACGGGATGGGGAGAAATGAGTTTGGGGACCAGGTCAGATGCCTCAGAACGGCTGGCTGGCCCCCTCAACATAGCATTCTGGATTTTGTTAAGGACGGTTGACCTAGCCGAAGCCAGTGACTTGTTGGCATCTCTGTCATCACTTTATTTAAGAAGATGCCACCTGCTACTCCCGCAGGTCCATTAATTCAGGATTATGAGGAGCAAGGCCTTGGTCAGAAACAAAGGCACTGGGGCTGTGGGAAGCAGCGCGCTGGCAGCACAGGGCACTCCGGACCCGAAAGAATTGGCTCGCCGCGGGCATGAGCTGATGGTTAGGAAAACCTTTCGTTCGGTAGGACAAAGTCTCGTGACAGCATAATAAAGAAATGAAGCCATGTGGCGAGAAGCCCAGGTGTGGGCTTGCTATGTGGATCCAGCCTTGCTGGGGGAAAAGGAAAACCCACGTCCTCTCCGGGCTGCCTGTGGGTGGGTGACCCAGGCGGGGGTTTCCTGCTTCTGCTGAGCTAGAGGCTGACCCTGCTGGATGCAGCTCCAAGTGCCTCTGCCCACTGGAATCCCAAGGGCTCCACCCCCGGAGACAAGGGTGGGAGAGCGATGGCGGAAGGAAGAGGGGTTGGGTGCAGGGTTCAGCCTCCCGCTCTGCGCGCTGTGCGGCCCTTCTCGTCTCCCTGCCTGTGGAGGTGGTCCCTTCGCTGACCTCTCTCCGAATAACCCTGTGTGGTGCCTTCTGGTTCTTGCTGGGTCTTTGATGGCCTGGTACTGCCTCATCCCGTGTGACAAGCACAGTGTCTCTCTGTCACTTTGGGCGTGGTTTGTCCTGCCAGGGTTGACTTGTGGGAGATGTGGTCCCCAGAAGTGGCGGATCACTAAGGGGTGGAGCCAGTGGCAGTTCAGAGGTCACCGGAAGCAGGCTGTCAGGTGGGGCTGGGACCCCAGCCTCCTGCCTCTCAGCACTGCAGTGAGACCTCTCCCGCTCATGGGATCCGCCGTGATGTGGCGCAGCCAGGGGGGCCCTCGCCAGGGCTGAGCCACGGCCAGGGCCACACCCTCCAACCTGCTCAGCTGCGAGCTAAATAGACCTCTTTCCCTTACAAAGTGTTTCCCAGCTGGCTATCCTCTTATAGCACCAAAAGCAGGCTAACAGAGCGAGCTTGACGGGGACGGACCTACAGCTGGAAGAACCGATCGGCTCAGTGCATGGTGGATCAGGTCCGAAGCACTGGCAACATCAGCCACTGCTGCCGTGGCCTGCTTTGCTGCTCCTCCACTGGGAGGAGTCGTTTTGCGGAGGACGGGAGGGGGCGTGGAGACCAGATGCCCCCAGCCATGCATGCTGGGATCCAGGAGAAAACCCAGGAGCCAATAGCCAACCACGCCCATGCTTCCTTCTCAAAAATTCCTCCATTTCCTGATTTTTCTTTGATTTCTTACACAAAAGTTTTCCATTTTTGTACATATTAATAGCAAAGTGGATGTTATTTTAAAATATTGATGTATGAAAGGATTTTTTTCCAGTTATGTTATTGAAGTAATTTAAAAAAACCCTAATTTCTGGCCATTTATCTAACTTGAAATGTTCCTCAATTCTGTTCTTGATCTTTGTATTAACAATTCAAATAATTTGGCTTCATATTTGACAGTAGTAGAACTAGTATATATTGTACTTTTTAAAATGAAATTGTAAACAATATGGTAAAACTTCTAAATCTCATGAAGACATCTGATTAAAAGTGATTAAAAGAAGTTAAGTAGATTCAAAATATATAGAAAATGAAATATCTTCATAATATGTCAAGTATGTTAAAGCAGACTTTACACACTTTGTTAGCATAATTTATATGTTAATTATTTTGTAAGTTAATGACTCAAGCATCATTTTAATTTTTATGTATTTGAGAGGCACGGGGTGGGGGAGAGAGAGAGAGAGAGAGTACAAGAGAGAGAGAGAGAGAGAGAGAGAGCGCTCCCATTCACTGGTTCACTCCCTAAACACGTGTAACAGCTGGAGCTGAGCTGGGGTTAGGGCTAAGGTTGTAAGCTGGGAACTCACCACAGGTTTCCCACGCGGGTGGCAGGAATCTAATTAGTTCAACCATCTACTGCCCCCCTGGCAACTGTACTGGCAGGCAGCGGAGGTGGGACCTGAACTCCCGCATGCCAGTGTGAGACACAGGTGTCGTCACCAGGTCAGTCACCAACCCCATTACTGCTCTAATACAGCGTGTTACTCGGATTTGTCATTGATACCGTGTGACTTAAAGTTCTCTTTAACTGAGTTGCCTGCACTAAACAATGTGTGGGGAAAAACCGACAAAGATGTGAAATGAAGCTTCCTAGTGCCTTCTCCACGTGGGTTCTCATTTTCAGACTCACCACGACTGAATTGAAAACTCTACCCCCAAAATGTGTCACAATGAGAGGTAAGACACACATGACTGTGGCTCTTAGCCGCTCCTCCAAAATTTATTTGCATATACTAAATCGATTTCTTTTTGCCATGACTTTTTTTTTTGTATTTTTATATTTTGGTGAAGTGTATTTAGCAAAAAAATTTACCATCCTCACCATTTTAGCCGAACCTGGCGTTCAATCCATCCACATTGTGGTGCTGCTTTCACCACCACTCATCTCCGGAACTTGCTGTCTTCCCAAACGGAACTCCTGCTGTAGCCATCGTTTCGGAGCTTGGTCCTACACATAGCGTCCAGGCTACCGGTGATAGCCAGCACCGTACAGACAGGTGGTCAGTACACGGTCCTGCCAACTTGCAGATATGATAGGGACTCCAGAAGTCAGACCATGACCCTTTGGTTTGTCTGCACTGATCCCTGGAGCAGCCACTCATGGGCGCTCTAGAAGCATGTGTCCCGCCGGTCACAATTTCCCTGCATCTCCAAACTTTTCCTCATGGTTCTTCATGGTCTCACAAGAATGTGAGACGTTTTCACCAAGGACTTACAGAGGCCAGCCTCACGTCTCCCCGTGGTCTTCATCCTGAGACGAGATGTAATGCTTGGAAAAACAAAACAAAACAAAACCAGGTGCGTGCCGGCTCTAGCTCCTATGTTTTCCTCGCAAACGCATTTACAGCATACGAATGTCCAGCAAGTTCAGTTCCTCTCTGGTGCCCCTCGTTCTGGTGCAGAATGGGAGGTGAGTGTCCTCACCTCTGAAGCCCGTATCCAAGCAGGTGCCTCCCCCTCCAGGACTGCTCATTGCCTGGCCATGCACTCAGTCCCCTTTGCACTGTGCACGCACAGGCTCTCCTCACTGGCAGCCCACGCCCGTCAGCCCTCAACTCCCTGGCACTGCCGGACACTCCTAGCACTGGCTGCAAAGCTATAGGTGACCCCAAGAGCCCAAGGTGTCACCATTCCCTGCAAGCTTTTTGTGATAGCAAAATCCCTTCTAAACTTTCTGCTAAGCTCAGCTTATCTTTTCTACACCAGCTTGGTAAGTCTGCTCATCCTGAAACCCCCCTCGCCATTATGGACATTAAGGACTATCACCCTTACCTTCTCCCAGAGTACAGGGAACTTGACTTTCAAACGTTTATTAAACAGGTGTTCACATAACATCTACCACTTGCCTGGCTTCCAGCTTAACTCGTCACTCACAAAACAGTCTTTTTATCCAAGCAATATTTATGACCTCCATTTTCAGAAGAAAGATTGATTCCTTTATTTTAAAAATGTGTTTGAAAGGCACAGAGGGAGGGAGAGAGAGAGAGAGAGAGAGAGAGAATCTTTCATCTGTTGGTTTATTCTACAAATGTCCCAAGTGGCCAGGAATGGGGCAGGCTGAAGCCAGGAGCTTGGAACTCCTTATCACTCTCCCACACGGGTGCAGGAGCCCAAGCACTGGAGCCTTCATCCATCGCCCTGCAGGAAGCTGGAATCGGGAATGGAGCCAGGCTCGCGCCCAGGCACTCCAATATGGCATGTGGGCTTCCCAAGCTGTGTCCTGCCTGCTGTGCCGAATGTCTGTCTCGAGGGATTGGTTCTAAAACGGTGCGCGTCAGCTGCTCAGGAATGATGAAGTCGTGATCCCGTGCCCTCGGTTGCATACCCCACGTGCACGTCTCCCCAACACGCCAGCTCTGCCCTGGCAGTTACAGCAGGGCCCCCGGTTTCATTCTTAAGTCTTCTGAGATAAAAGGTTTATCATTACAGACAAGCCAGTGATGCATCTGATGTTGCCATCAAAGCAAACGAGCCCTCCAGCTCCAGGGGACGCTAAGACAACGGAGAACCTGGACACAGTGGGCACAAAATGACACAGAGGCTGCTTCCCTAAGACCCATCCCAGGCAGCCACTTGGTTTGGTCACTCACGTCCTCTTCATGCTACACGCGCACTTACTTTGTGCATTTTCAACTAGTCAAGAGCTCTCTGTACATAACCTCCCAGACACTTACCTCTCTAATGAAATGTTTAATTTGAATAGAAATAAAGTACAATTTAATGTCAGAAGTCCCAGAGAAAGAAGCACTCACATCTTTGATCTAAAACTTCAGGTATTGCTGCTATAAAGCCTAACCCGTCTTAGTCTTCCTGCCTTGCTTTTCCCATCTCTGAAGTAGGATTATATTAGCAACTATCTTATGACGTTGTTGTGCAACAATCGATACATGTTCACTGCTTCACAAAGCTCTATAAACAGCTGAGGCATAATTATTGACCACAGGTAGAAGGCGTCAAAAGGTCACGGGAGTAAATGCATCAGGCATACCTTCTGAAGAGTTTTTAATAGCTGTTGCCTTCAATTCAAACAGGCGCTTAAATCCAGTTCCGCTTTTGGAAGCAACACCACATGAAAAGGGTGGAGATCTGTGCTTCCTGTGTTCACACAGAAATCCAGAGAGATTCTAGCAAGCGCAAAGGACTTGCTGAAGTTTAAAGAAACAATCTCCGGCCGGCGCCGCGGCTCACTAGGCTAATCCTCCGCCTAGCGGCGCCGGCACACCGGGTTCTAGTCCTGGTCGGGGCGCCGGATTCTGTCCCGGTTGCCCCTCTTCCAGGCCAGCCCTCTGCTGTGGCCAGGGAGTGCAGTGGAGGATGGCCCAGGTGCTTGGGCCCTGCACCCCATGGGAGACCAGGAGAAGCACCTGGCTCCTGGCTCCTGCCATCGGATCAGCGTGGTGTGCCAGCCGCAGCGCCAGCCGCGGCGGCCATTGGAGGGTGAACCAACGGCAAAAGGAAGACCTTTCTCTCTGTCTCTCTCTCTCACTGTCCACTCTGCCTGTCAAAAAAAAAAAAAAAAAACAAACAAACAAACAATCTCTTGAGTCTTATAATTCTGACTCCCAAACTCAAAGCTTCAGGGAGCCTTATCGACATGTGTCAAGTACTTCCTGTATTTGTAACATTAACAATGGAAAGGTTTTTATTACTTACGTTCGTACACCCAGTAGTTACTGTGAGAATTAATATAGCCTTCTGGTTTCCTTGTGAGATTTTTAATCATCTGATCCCTCCTGAGTGATGTTTGGCTGACCTCAGACTTGCCTTGGTACAGAGTTCCTGGAATAGGATGGATTATTGTGGAAGAGGGTCCCGTAAATTATGACATTTGCTAACGGCGCAGCCTCACGGAATCCTCCCAATGGCCCTGGAACGTAGTCATCACTCCCACTTCACAAGTCCAGAAACAGTGTGTAGATTCCTACCCGTCTGCCCCAGTAGTGGTGGAGGTCTCTCCCACCGTTGGGTTTTGTAGGAGGCTGACAGCTCCCTGGAGGTGAGAGAACATGACGGCCCTGACCAGTCTGGGTAAATCACGTGTCCCGTCAGCCTCAATTTTCCCCTTTTCACCTTCAGCAAGTTCAATTACTGCTCTGAGAATCACTTCTGGGAGCAACAAATGGCTCCGCCTCTTTGCCATCTCCGGCTAAGGTGCTAAAATCACCTTGTCCGGGAAGCAGAGCTCTGAGGACAGCGGGTGCCAGGTCTGGCCGTTCTTGTGCGGATCAACTCAGCTCCTAGAGTGGGCTGAGGCTCAGCCCAGCCCCAGAGCCTGCTCACATGCAGGCAACATACTTTTTAAACACCTGCTTGCAAATGTCCAACAGACGGTGAATTTTGAGTTCTTTGGCAGCAAGGGCACAGCAGAGTCTTTTCCTTGCCCCTGGTCCCTGCCACGTGGCTGGCGATGATTGAGGCCCTATCACATGAACACCCTTGGGTGAAAGGCTGGGGTGACACAGACAATGTCCTGTGTGGTCCTTGTTGATCAGGACCTCTGAGTTTGGACAAGGACATGGGCGTGGAATCTTTACAGTGAGGACGACCTGTGAGTGGTGTAGACAGATCTTGTTCAGAGTAAAGCCGTGAAAACGTCCCAGGAAAGACCTCAGGTTGCACCGAGAGCCTGTAAGGAGAGAGGCCTGGGCAGTTCAGACCAGGGGGAACAGGGAGGGGGAAGGGTGCGACATGAGAAAGTCCCGAGTGGTGGGGGAACAGGGAGGGGAAGGGTGCGACCTGAGAAAGTCCCGAGTGGTGGTGGGGGGAACAGGGAAGGGAAGGGTACAACATGAGAAAGTCCCGAGTGGTGGTGGGGGGGACAGGGAGGGGAAGGGTGCGACCTGAGAAAGTCCCGAGTGGTGGTGGTGGGGGACAGGGAGGGGGAAGGGTGCGACATGAGAAAGTCCCAAGTGGTGGGGGGGACAGGGAGGGGAAGGGTGCGACATGAGAAAGTCCCGAGTGGTGGGGGGGACAGGGAGGGGAAGGGTGCGACATGAGAAAGTCCCAAGTGGTGGGGGGACAGGGAGGGGAAGGGTGCCACATGAGGAAGTCCCGAGTGGTGGGGGGGAAGAGGGAGGGGAAGGGTGCCACATGAGAAAGTCCCGAGTGGTGGTGGGGGGACAGGGAGGGGAAGGGTCCGACATGAGAAAGTCCCGAGTGGTGGGGGGGACAGGGAGGGGAAGGGTGCGACATGAGAAAGTCCTGAGTGGTGGTGGGGAACAGGGAGGGGAAAGGTGGGACATGAGAAAGTCCCGAGTGGTGGTGGGGGGACAGGGAGGGGAAGGGTCCGACATGAGAAAGTCCCGAGTGGTGGTGGGGGGACAGGGAGGGGAAGGGTCCGACATGAGAAAGTCCCGAGTGGTGGGGGGGACAGGGAGGAGAAGGGTGAGACATGAGAAAGTCCCGAGTGGTGGTGGGGGGACAGGGAGGGGAAGGGTCCGACATGAGAAAGTCCCGAGTGGTGGTGGGGGGACAGGGAGGGGAAGGGTCCGACATGAGAAAGTCCCGAGTGGTGGTGGGGGGACAGGGAGGGGAAGGGTCCGACATGAGAAAGTCCCGAGTGGTGGGGGGGACAGGGAGGAGAAGGGTGAGACATGAGAAAGTCCCGAGTGGTGGTGGGGGGACAGGGAGGGGAAGGGTCCGACATGAGAAAGTCCCGAGTGGTGGGGGAAGCCACAGATCCTGAAGCTCAGCACTGTGCTGGCCAAAACCCCGAGAGTCCAGCAGCCTCACCTGCCACACATTTGCCGCTGATGGTATTGATCCATCCTCACGGCATTCGGGTTCCCAGCGCCTCTGAATTTATCCCCAAAACCCCAGCCAGGCTGCCTCAGAGGCCCTCTCCTCTTCAGGGATGATGGTGGAGCTTTCCCGTTTTACCTAGAGGCATGGTTTTCACCACGATGGGAGCCGGTGTCTCCAAGGAGTGCTTGTGAAGATAGCATAGAGGCCACGCTGGACGGGAGCCTGGTGCTGCCCTCCTGGGATGCAGTTTATCTAGCTCCCGCCGCAGATGGGCCAGCGGCGAGCCGTGCCAAGCCACAAGAGCACCGCCAAGATGGGTAGCCACAGACGTCGGTAGTCACGAAAGCTGAAAAACCAGGAGGTGCAGCAACCAACTGCCTCCACGGCGCCCGTGCGATGGGGGTACTGCGATTCCGGGGGGCTCATCGGGGGCGTCTCCCACGATGGGACTGCACGCGTCTGAGGGTGGCCCGGAGGGACCTGCATTGCTAAGCTTTCCTAACTGCAGCCTTCAATCGTCTGTCCACAAGCGGCTGCCCCTAGAGACGCGGGTCCTTGCCTTGGTCTTGTCGCTTCTCTAACAATAGACTGTTCTCTGAAGAGGCTGTGTGAGCTAGAACACACGACCACACCTTGGAGAGCTCCCCATTCCTTCAGTATCTCCCTTGCATAAATGAACTGTTTGTGACAAACTTGTTTAACTTTCCCTTGTTGACCTTTCTTCTGTCACGAGGGTCTGTTCCATCCAACAACTTATAAAGGTTGAAGAAAAACTATTTTTTGTCCTATGGTTCCTGTGCCTGTGTATATGTAGATAATTCACAGGAAACACTATTATTTCCCACATTTGCCTTTTATGCTATTAATTTTGACTGTACAAATAGTATCCCAACTGGTAAACCCATGTTTTTTATAATATACAAAATGGTAGAGATGAAGGGAAAGGCAAAATACAACTGCCCTCAAATCTGTTATTTTTGGACCTGAATGTTTTAATACAGAATAAGCCTGGGACACTGGGCTACTTGTTCTTTGCTGATGAATGAAGCCTCTGTTTATTGTAAATGGCAATTCTGCGAAGGGGACAACAGCCCTGCTGCTATGAGCGCAGTTCATCCTCGGGGTTCAGAGGGATTGAGGACTATGACAACACAGAGACACTGTCTCAGGAATACTAAACTATGCAAATGATAAGTTTCATTTTTTATTGTAGATCAGGAAGAGACATTGGAGCTATTATAACATTAAATAGGCATCATTAGAGAGGTATAAATGATATGGCCCCAGGGTTTTAAAATACAGTTGTGATGGACCATTGAGATACAGAGTTCTGAGGGTGGCTAAGGTCTGACTGTGTCCCCCAAAATTCATGTATGAGAAACGTAGCCTCCAAGACAACAGTGCTGCGAGGTGGTACATTTGGGGAGGTGCTTTAGATTAGTGCTGTTGACAAACGGAACTGGGTTTCTTTTTTTTTTTTTTTAATTTGACAAATAGAGATAGACAGTGAGAGAGAGACAGAGAGAAAGGTCCTCCCTCCATTGGTTCACCCCCCCAAATGGCCACTATGGCTGCAGATATGTCAATCCGAAGGTGAGAGCCAGGTGCTTCCTCCTGGTTTCCCACGTTGGGTACAGGAACCCAAGCACTTGGGCCATCCTCCACTGCCTTCCCGGGCCACAGCAGAGAGCTGGACTGGAAGAGGAGTAACCGGGACTAGAACCTGGTGCCCATATGGGATGCCGGCACTACAAGTGGAGGATCAACCAAGTGAGCCACGGCGCTGGCCTGGAACTGGGTTTCTTGTTGCCCTTCCACCTTCCCCCATGCGAGAGCCCAGAGTTCTCCCCTCCTGTGTTCAAGGCAGCCACTTGGAAGCAGAGAGCAGCCCTAGCCAGACAACAGATCTGCAACATCTAATGGCCAAAATACTCAAAAGTCTGCAAGCTGTGGCAACTCCCTGCAGAGCTGAATTTTGCAGGCAGTGCAGATGGCAAACACCCTGGAGTCATCTCTGGTTTACAAAGCACCTGCAGTCAAACCACTTAGCACGGAGTTGGTGATGGCAACAGCTCTCAAGGTTTGGTTCTACCCTAAATTCTTTAACCCAGAGTCTGCAAATGAAATCTAAGAAGTGGTTTGACATCACTGAATTTGCATGCCTTCCCTCCACGTGTGTGCCCCCACTGGGTGCTGGATGGAGGGACAGGGCCTGTGCCGTTGGAGATGGAACTTTGCTCTGGAGAAGCTGAAGTGAGATCGCAGGGTAAAAGCCTGCTCATTTTTCTGTGGGTGTCGTCTGTGAAGGTCTCGTTCATTTCTGTCCTAGTTCTAAACAGGCTCCCCCAAGTCAGTGCTCATGTGTCTGCACTCAGGTTCAGGTGCAGCAGTGAGACCCATGGCCTCCTCCCTCCCGTAGGGGGAGCGTTGCGCTGCCCTGCTAGACCCTTCCTCCTCCGGTTCTGAAGCTGGGACTCCCTGGGTTGATTAGTAGTGCTGAGAGTAACAAGGAATGCTGACGCTGATGGAGTGCTGACCACGTGGCATCGCTCCCTCTCAGCAGCCCTGTGAAGCCAGGCTGGGGCTTGGGCATGGGCTTATGTGTCTGCAGCTCCTTGGTGTGCAATTCTTAGGAGAATGCTTGGAAATGCGTGGGAAACTGTCCTATGCTGATGCCTGGACAGCTGCCTTCTCCTGATCCTTGGGTCAATGGCAGGATCAACCTGGAACCCACAGGCTTGGATGGTTGGGATTTGAGTGTCCAGGCTTTGCCCCTGTGGACAAGGGAGGACTTTCAAAGGCAGGAGCTGTACTGAAGGTCAACACACAGCATCAGGATACGAGGCACTGCTGTTATTTCCATTGTACTGAGAGGAAATGAGGCACAGAGAGATCTTGTCTCAAGTTTTGCGGCTGGTGGGTGGTGGATTTGGAATGCAAACCCAGGTCATCAATCAGGTTTGGGGCACACACATCTTGTCACTTTGGCCATGCTACCTTCTGCTCCATGCCGTGGGAGCAGCTGCAGGAGGTGCTTCCCAGGGCAGCTCAGGAGGTGGCTAGAAGAAGGCAGAAGCTTTATTGTCCCATTGTACAGCGAGGGAAGGCACTCACAGGTGTGGTCTCACTGTGGGAGCTTCCCCAACAGCAAAGGGAGGGGCCGAGACCTCCAGGGTTGTCAGGAAAGGGTGTCTCGGCCATTGTGGAGGTCTCTTGGCTGGTGAGGGGTGGTGGAGATGATGCAGGTTCCTTAAGAACTGTGGAATAGTTGTTTGAGAAGGGGCGGGCTCTGGAGCCCCTGCAGTGGAGAAGGACCATGGACAGCGTGGGAGTCACTCTGCTGTTTCCAGCTCTCAGGCTCCTTCCACAGCCAGGAAGCAGTGATGGATGGGCGATGCATGGATGAAAAGATGCCCAAGATTCTTGCAGATTTCCAAACCTCAATCATGACTGGAGCGCAGGAAAATCCATACATGCTGAAATTTGGGGATTCAGCTAGGCGAGACGTTGCAAATGCCTGAAGCTGACTAGAAAAGCTAACTTCCCTGAGACATTCTCCCAACAATGTGGGATAGAGAATTGAAAGCAGGACACAACTTCTCGATTACATCCCCCCACGTTCAGCATTTTCTGTACACTGGTTACACAGACATCACCAACTCTGAGTTTCTTCAAACACTCTTGGATGAGGTCATTATCGTCACCTTACAGATGAGAAAATTGAGCCTGAGAATTAACAAAGCTCAAAACCCAAACCAAACAAACACATTCCAATAGGTTAACACAAGCAACTAAAGTGGAGGTGATATCTGATTTCTCCTTAGAGGCTTTGTTCTCAATAGAGAGTGGACACTTGGCCGTGGGATTGCAGCAGATTCTTAGGGAGAGAGTATGTTATCGCTGGCCGTGGGATTGCAGTAGATTCTTAGGGAGAGAGTATGTTATCGCTTAGTGAGAAATTGGTGTGTAATGAATGGCTCACTCACATCCCAGTGATGCAGCCATTAATAGGGCTATGGGTAAAGAATCCAACTTTAGGGTACTGTTAGTACTTGAATCTGACATTGAATGTGGGCGTTCTCTTGCTTGGCATGAGAAGGTGACGGGCTGAAGTGACAGAACCGGGAGATGAGTAATCTGTCGGAGCTCCATGGTCAGCGGGGGAAAGAGAAGTTACTCCAGACTTAATCCTGCCAGTGATGATGGCGTGCATCAGAAGCCACCACAGCAGGCATTCTGGCGTTTGCGATGATCACAAGGTTCTTGTGATTAGGAAGAGCAATGCATTGCATCAGCTTTAGAACATCCGCAGGGTTGCTGACACTGGCACCATCTTGGCTCTGGTAGAGGAGCCCACAGAACCAAAACGGCGTGGTTCTGAGAGAAGGGTACAGTGCAGATTCCGGAGCAACAATTGCTACAATAAGAAGTTAAGACCTGCTATCTTAAGGATTATATTCAAGATTGTAAGTACCTGTCAAAGGATGAGTTATAAGGTGATTTTCACAATCAGTGGAGGTGGGAACAGGTACAAAGCAATGGTGTTAACATTATATAATTTGTAGCCCAAAATATATTATATTAAATAAAGCTAAATAATCTCAGCTACATGCCCAAATACCAAGTACTTTTAACTAAATATTTTTAGGTGTGCAAATCATGAACCATGAATGCATCCTCTCAAATAATTTGGCAAGAAATTGCATTTGGGTTATGCTACATCACGTCTTCAACCCTGGCTCTATCACACACAAGTGTGTTTTCAACATTACAAGTTTACCTTCCAGTCTTCTTTTTTTAAAATTTTTAAAGATTTTTTTATTTATTTGAAAGTCAGAGTTTCACAGAGAGAGAAAGAGAGGCAGAGAGAGAGAGAGAGAGAGAGAGAGAGAGAAGTCTTCCATCTGCTGGCTTACTCCACCATTGGCTGCAATGGATGGCTGATGATTCACGGAATTGGATAATCAGAATTTGACTATTAGAAAATACTCAAAACTGTAAATAATGGCTGTATTCATTTAGTGCTCCCTATTACATAGGTTTTCAAAATTAAATTATTTGAGGAAGGGAGAAAGAGAGAGAGAGAGAGAGAGAGAGAGAGAGAGAGAGAGGTCTTCCATCTTCTGGTTCACTCCCCAAATGATCACAATAGCCAGGGCTGGGTCACACCAAAGCAAGGGGCCTGGAACTCCATCTGGGTCTCCCATGTGCACGCAGGGGCCCCAGCACTTGGGCCATCTTCTGTTGCTTTCCCAGGCACATTGGCAGGGACCTGGATTGGGAGCAGAACAGCCAGGACTCACACTGGTGCTCCAACATGGGATGCCGGCGTCAAAAGCAGCATCTTAGCACACTGCACCAAAGCGCTGGCCTCTCACCCAGACTTTTTACAAATATTCCATTTAGTTGTCACTTCTGTCCAAAGTGGGAAACATTACTACACCCATTTCTCAGATGAGATAACTCTGGCACAGAGAGACAGGGATTTCCAAAGGTCAACCAGTCCATAGCCGAGGTGGGGTTGGAAACCAGATCAACGGGATAGAAAGACCATG